GCAGAGAGCAGCTATGCCAAGAATAGAATAGAAAGAATGAATAACAAAGTTCTTTGCTCAGGGAATCTGTCCCTGAGCTGCTCCTGTGATTGGCCTTTAATGGTACACAAGGAAGATGAGCCAATCACAGGGACACCTGCTACATTTCACAACAGCTGATAACAATTGTTTACATTCTTCTTCTGGGGCCCTTTGCTTCCCAGAAGAAGGAGAAATCCCAAAGAAAGGATTTCTATGAAGAAATGTCTGCGACACCCGCACAACTGAGACTTCCAGCATGAGTTTCCGGCAACTACAGAACTTAAAAACTGCAACCAATTAGGCCTTTCCTTAAGCAAAAAGTATCTGGGAATGAGGGTGCCTCAGCCAAGCCAGATGTCAGATTGTATTATATTTTTTATGTTTACAAATATGATTAGTATGGTTTCATTGCTGTATTAAAAAAAACAGGAAGAGGCAATTCATTATTTCCTTTTCAGCTGTGTAATAATGAACTACATGAGAAATATTTTGATATCATGAGTCATTGGTGGCCATGGAGAAAAACATACTCTTTAAGCCAAGCTTTTAAATACTTTTTTAATTGAAAGAAAAAGAAATATTATTTTACTGGCAAGTGACTTGCTCTTCTGGGTTTATAATTTTAACAATGAACTGGTCTTGGAGAACATTATTTAAATGGCTTTTACAACCAGTAGTAGTATAGGAATAATGTCTGGGGCTTTTGCCTATATAGTAAATGTCTTTCCTTTTTTTACAGAAAAGATGGTTTTATCTGTCCCCTTTAAAAATCACTTCACATCAGGCAGTGCATCATTAACAATTAAAAAACTTGTGCATAAGCAGTAGAAAAGTTTCCTGTAATGGCTGATGTCATTTCTCACAATCACTGCAATCACTGCTCAGTTCATACCAACAAGGAAACACTGAAGTCACTTCTCTAACGTTTTGTAAAGACACTTCAGCTCCCTTGTTTATAAAAATGTTACACAAATACCATAATTATTTAAGATAATTTTTCCTTCTGCTTTCTTCAGATGCTCTCTTGTAGCTGTCAGCCAAAGCTCAAAGAGCAAATTTCCTTTTCCAGGCTTTCAGGAAAAGGAAATTTTCCTGACAACCTGATGGCTCCTCACCAGCACAGGTACAGAGAATCTGCTCAGCCATGGGGTTGTCCTCCTGTGTAGGTGGCTGGCCCTGGGAAGCTGTGGAAAGGCTGTTTTCTCCATACAGCTGTCCTGCTGCTCTGTCCTGGTCTTTGTAGAAAAACCTTGGGATGCTCACAGTCGGCAAACACCTATTGGTGTAACAGTTGCAGGGCTTTTGGCCTTTTTTCTGGTGTTTCCTTGCCCGAGGAAATCTTGTAACTGCAGATCTGAGGCCTGGGCTCAAGGTGCATTTCAACAGGCAAACTTTCAGCTGTGAATATGGTTTCTAGTGATTTCATTTCAGGTGTCCAATTATCTTCTAAGATAAGGTAGAAGGTATATTTTGTCTAGAGTGCTAAGACTGTTCTTGAAAAGCTTAGCCTTTCTTCTTGAAAGGAAGGCTGTAATCAGTAGTTACCTTGCTTCCTCTTTTGCTGTAAAGAGGTGGTTGGATCAAACTTTTCTGCTTCTGTGAAAACTGAAAGGAATTGAGGGCTGCCTTCTGAAATAAAGGGCAAATGGTCTCATTTGGTCCCACTGTATTTTCAGTTTGTACCATGGCAAGGACTGTGGTTTTGTATTGGCCTTTACAGCGCATTGATGTAGAGAAATCATGTGCTGTGATGATATTAAGTGTCATTGTATTAATTATGTGCACAAAGATTACTTTGGGTTTTCTTAAAGAGGAGGTGAACAGAGCGAGGAAATCAGCATTGCCAGAGGAAGAAAGAATGAGCTAATCCAACTAAAACTGCAAGTGGAAGCCAGTTAGACGGAATGTAAATTTGCATGGTTGAATTTGGCAGATTCTAGTGTTAATACTATTCCTGCTGTGAGAAGTTACAGAAGGATCTTTTTCTATTCTTTTGTAATGATCTGGATTCAGTTGCACATTTTGCCTGAATGTCTGTGCCTCCCTGCACCTTTAGCTCATGGCACAATATTTATAACACTTTACAGGTTGTTTGATTTAGTACTGGCTTAGAAGGAAGACTTCTATTTCATGAGTTACCAGCAGTACCCTTTTCTTTAACACTGGGATAAATTTGCAGCAAGGAGGTTATACCAGACAATTTTCTTAAATCTTGGAGAAGTTTGCAGACTGTGATGGAATAACTATGGGGGTGCATTTTTATTATTCTGACACCCTTGGGGAAAAGAAGAAAAGAGAACACAGAATATGAGTTAAATTTGAAATTTAAAAAACCCAAATCCACTAACACACTCCCCCCAGCCCAAATTTGAAAAATAATTTTTAAGAAAAGGGAGAAACAGAGCCTGATGTAGAAAGCTACTGAATTACCCTCCTGAATAGCTCAGCAACAATGTTAAGTAAATTAATGATGAATGGATAAAGAATACAGAAGCCAAGAGAAATCTCTGTGTTGGAGATTAGAAAGCACAAATACAGTGAGTCTGCCCAAAATTTATTGGGCTGTGTGTAATAACAACCAAACCCCACCCCCCCACACTCCTTTCGTTGCATACATTACAAGACCCTAGGAGAAACACAAGAACACTGTGTAGCATGGCAGGATGTAGATTAAGAAGACTCTAGATATGATCCAGCCTCTAAGGGAGTATTTTGCCTATTTTGGATGAGGTTATAGTAAAAGGAAATCAGAGGTTGTAGAAGAGCACATAGTTCTAGCAGACCTATATAATCTCTGATGTATGAAAGACTATGGAAAAAAAGAGTGTATATAATTGACCAGGCAATAGGAAGTCTTCCTCTCATATCTGGCATTTGGAGACTGTAGCCTCTGACTGGTGAAAAGCAAACTTGTTGAATAACAGAGCTGGGGGGAGAGGAACAAAAAAAGAGGATGACTTGAGCAATTTGGAGTTCCAGACCTCACCATTGTGCAAAGTCTTGAAAACAGTTCTTGCAGGGAGATTACTCTATAGCACATTCATGCCTGTTTGTGGCCATATCAGACTGGCAGTACAGCTGGTGGGCTGTATAAAAGAGCAGCAGTTTTGTTCTGAACTGCTGAGTGCACACTTTAATTTCACTCCTATTATTCCGGTCCACAAGGTTATCATAGAGAACTGAACAATCCCCTCTCCTCTTCAGCATTGATGAAATGTGCACTTTTCCATGCCTGTTCACCAAGGTCACTGACAAAAGTATTCAATTTCAGAGAACACAAAGGGGCATAAACTGAAGGGTGAATTAAGCAGAAGTAGAATGTTTTTTTTGTTGTTTCTGCTGCTATTAAAATAGTAGTGGGGATGTGCTACCTAGGTGTAAGTACAGCACTTGAAACAGAGAGCCTTAGAAAGCTTGTTAATGAAGAGATGATAGTGATCCAGGCTAACTCTGATGAATAAAGACCTGGTTAAACAGAAAGACCTCATGAGGCTATTTCAAAATAGAACTTCTTGTCTCTTTCTGCTGTGGTTTCATCCCATGCTGATAGGCACACAAAACTGTATATTTTCTTAGCCCTGAAGTGTTCAGGTCGCTGTGGAGCATCATCTTCTGGACTGGAATAACAGCAGTGAGATTAAATTGTGCGTTCAGCAGTTCAGAACAAAACTTCTGCTATTTAATAGTCTGTCACTTTCACTGCCCAGGTGATGACACTGGGAAAAAGTCTTTGCAGGACAGTGCAAGGCACTGGGAACAGCTCAGTCAGTGGGTTCTGTGTGTTCATATTCACTGGAAATAGGTCTGTGTGTCTGTGTACTTTAACAAGAAGACGGGAAGAAAAAGGGTTGGGAGATGACTGGAGAAATAATAATAGTTTAAGAAAAAATTAAGGAAGCAAAACAAACCCCACCTCACGATAAACCAACATTCCACGACAGGAAACTAAATTTGAAGAGGAGGTTAAATAAGGCTGAAAATAAACGTGATTTAACAAGCACATGGGGGGTTTTAAGCATTTCTTCTCCCTCTCTGGTGTATGGGGGGAGGACCAGTAAATGGCCATGCACGGATTCAGAGTGGATACCACTAAATCAAGAGGGAAACGATGATTTGAAACATCCATCACTGAAAGGCCAGAGCAGGGAGACTGTGACTCCACGGCCATGGAAGTTTGTGTACACATGGAATGGCCGGACCCGAGCCCTGAGGCCTTGACCCCTCGCTCTGGAGGCCCGGGCAATGGCGGGAAGCTCCCTGCCCTTCGGCACCCTCCTCTACCGGCCGTGTTCACCATTTTCCCCGTGGGGCAGCAGGTTCCGGCTCAGCCTGCGGGCGTCACTTCCCGGGGCGGAGCGGGGCGGCTCCGGTAGGTGCCGGGAATGGCGGGCAGCGGCCGGGAATGGCGGGGATCGGCCGGGAATGGCGGCTTTCCCCTGCCCTCCTCCCCTCAGCGGCCGCCCCGGGCTGAGGCGGCGCAGCGGGAGCGGGGCTGGGGCCGCCCGGGCGCCTCGGGGAGGCCTCAGCTCCTCCTGTTTATTTCTGAATGTTCTTGTGTCTGAACTCTCTCCCACTCCCTTTTTCCTCTTTCTGATTGAAATAAGTGCAAATATGCCCTCGTCCCGAATAATTGTTAAAAACAGCCCTAAAATAGCCCGTCAAACTAGAATGTACCACCAGTTCTGTAAGCTTAAGGATTGATTGCTCCTGGATTTGTAGTGTGCTCTCAGAGGCTTATTTAAAAGTACATTTTTTTAATATTTTAATTTATGAAGTATGATAATAAAGAGATACTGTGCTTTTGGTTCTGTAGTGTGTTTTTATTGTGTCTGTTTAGCGGGAAAAGGGGACAGTTTTTTTTATTCAAGGCAGTGGGTACAGATAAAATCAAAGCTGATGATCAGGGGTGTACATAAACTTAATTTGAGTCCTCACAAAAGTGCTTTGAGGAAAGTAAAGATGTTTTTCCTTCTCTTTAGGCTGTCTGCAAATAGAAGTGAACTGACAACTCTGGTACTTTTTGGTTCCAAACAAGATGAAGATCCCTTGTTTGCTGCTGAGATTCCCTTGTCGTTATTTCTCCAGAAGAACTTACTTTGTGAACTTTCGCTTCACTTCCCCAGCAGATTTCCCGGGCCTTGAGTCTCCCGGGCCAGCACATCACTGTCGCACAAAATGGATTTGTTCATCAAACGCTTTGAGGAGAGAGCTGTGCCAGCAGGCAGCCCCTGAGCTGCAGGCAGAGGAGCTTTCTGACCAGGAGCAGAGATTCGTAGACAGACTTTACCAGGGGCTAATCCAGGGCCACAGAGCCTGCTTAGCTGAATCCATTACACTCATAGAATCAACTCAGAGTAGGAAGAAGAAAGTAGCCCAGGTCCTCCTTCAGAAGGTATTATCCTACCACAGGGAACAAGAAAAGTTAAATCAAGGAAAGCCACTTGCCTTTAGAGTGGGTTAGTCCTTTTATGTCTTGTCTAGTAGTAATTACTGTCCTCACCTTTTATTATCATTGTTTGTGGTTTTGTCTTGCATTGTTATTTTTTTGTGGTTTATCACCAATCTAGATTACTTCTGTTGTCCAGTGGAATTATGGCTTGAGATGAAAAATGCTTTTGAGAATGCTTTAGAAATTATCATGGCTTCTTGGGAGTGTGTTATTCAGGGTTGGCTGTGTAACCATTATAAGGTGAAACATTAGTTAGTTTGCAGGTTGATGCAGATGTTATCTACACTTAGTGAAAGATGTGTTCAAGCACACCTGGTCTTTTCCTAAAGGTGTTTCTTGGACCCTTCCTGAATCCCTTTTTTAGTCTATAGAAGGAAAAACATGCACCTTCCTGTTTTATAGCCCTCTGTTAAGCAGCCTGGTTTTCAGCTGAAGGAGACTTGAACCTGCTTCTCCTGGAAGCTGTAAAATATTTTTCCCTTACAAAGAGAAGGCCTCCTAGCGTGTGTCATGCCCAGCTGTCATCTCTCCTGTCTGTACAAAGGTAGTAAGAACAAGAACTGGGGCATGGGAGTGAGAAAAGTTTGGTGCTAATCTTAGTTTGTGAGCTTTGACATGCAAATAAACGGCCTCATTTTTTGGAAAGAACAGCTCTTCAAGGTACAGCCTTGCTTTTCCTTTTGGAATGTTTCTTTTGTAGTAAATCTGAAAAATCCAGTTCTAATATATAACATTTTGAAAATTATGAAGGATACAGTACAAGTAATTTTATTTGGAGGGGAAGAAATAGATGTGGATAAGCCCAATATTGGTGTCAATAGGATGAGGGATAGTGAGGTGCTGCTGTGTTGTCAAGCTCCTATTTTGTTTTGGCATAGCTTTTATTTGCTTTTGTTGTGATGCTGTGTTAGAGTATGAATTGTTGTCAACTAGATGTTGATGGTATTCAGGAGATGTATTATTTATTTGACCAATAAAATGTTTTTTTCTTCCTATTGTGATTATTTAGGGTTGTCTGGTCCGCCTGGTGCTGGAAAGTCGACCTTCATAGAATGCTTTGGGAAGATGCTTACAGAAAGAAACCACAAAGTGGCTGTGTTGGCTGTGGACCCTTCCTCTAGTACAAGTGGTGGTGAGTTTTGAGTCAAGTTTCTAATACCTTATAAACCACTGAAGTATCTCTTTGGGCCAAGTGGAAAAAAATTTGGTGCCTGTAACAGTAAAATGTAAAAGAAATCAAGTTTTCATTTTTTTTTCCAGTAAAATGTAAAAGAAATCAAGTTTTCATATTTTTTTCCTATGTGATGCAAAATTGGAAAATATGTATCAGTGTTGTAGTTCTTTCAGATTTTCTCTTTTCCAGTATTCAAATGTCGCCTTACAATTTATTTTTCTAAATCTGTATTTTTTTGAAGTTGTGCAGGATTACTGATGACACGCTGTGATCTGAAACTCTCCAGTAAAAAATTGTAGGGGAATTACAAGCTGAACATGCCTGATTCTTGGTATCTCTGATACAAATAATACAACCTTGATTTTGATCTTTCCATAAGGGGCAGCTGCCAGGCAGCATCATTAATTTTTCTAGCTTCTGTGCTGTTAGAGGTGTGTAACTATTTATAAAGAAATAACTAGAGCATTGCATTGACATGGAGCTAAGATGGACTGTGTTCTTTGATGCATGCCTTTAGGATGCATGAGTAAAAGTAGCAAAATGTGGCAGCAAGACTGCAGCAGCTGGAAGAATTGAGCATCTCTCATCTTTTGGAGTGTGCATTGAGTGTGTAGATCTCGCTGAATGTGATTTGCAGTTTGTTTGAGTAGAAGGAAGGCAGGGACACGTGTCAGCTCTCCTAAAACAAAACACCCAGCACCAGTGTGTCAGAATCATGATGCAGAGATTTGTCCCTTTGGACAGGAGCAGACAGGAATCAGCTGTGTGGCCTGATGTGTGTAGGCTTCAAAAAGCCATTCAGGAGTTGTAGAGTTCATTCTGACCTAGCACAAATTCTTTGTGTTTGGTAGCAGAAAAGTCTGCCTGTCAGGCCTTTCCAGCTGCTGGGAAGTAGAAGAACCAGACAGTAGCTTCCTAGTCCTCAGCTAAGTCTTGAGAAGCTGTAACTAGGATATTCTTATTTGACTGACTTGGTATGAGAGATCTGTCTGTCCTCACTCATTTATTGGTGGGGATGGGGGAGAAGGGGCAGTTTGGTTGTATTGCACTGAAATAATTTAACATTAAGGTTCCCTGCTGGGTGATAAAACAAGGATGACTGAGTTGTCGAGAGACATGAATGCATACATCAGACCATCTCCAACCAGTGGGACTCTGGGAGGTGTCACAAGGACCACAAATGAAGCCATTCTGCTCTGTGAAGGAGGAGGCTACGATGTTGTTCTCGTGGAAACAGTGGGTATGTGCTTGGGGTTTGCTTTGTTTGTCTTGTTGTGACATGAAAATAGGCTGTGCTAATAATTGCATATCCCTGCCTTGATTTTGCCCATGTTTTTTGCATGTGGTCGCTGCTTTGACACAAGTGCTCATTCTGTCTTGTTTTCTAGTCCTGTGTGTCTTTTACTGAACTGTCATGTTTCCTGTTCTCTTTGTTTTCTTAGTGGGATTTGTTTGTGGGGCATTGCTGGGATCTGTCACAATTACTGACATTAATGGGACTGAAAGTTTGTAGTAAATGGTAAATTCTGAATTTAATTTTTTAGGTGTGGGCCAGTCAGAATTTGCTGTGGCTGATATGGTTGATATGTTTATATTACTGCTACCACCTGCGGGTGGAGATGAATTACAGGTATTTTTCAGTTTCTCTTATTGGTTACTACCTGGGACTAGGAAGAGAAACTTAAATTCAGCATGCAGTATCTGTGCAGACAGTCCATATCAATAGTGTTTTGTCCATTATACTGTTATTATTAAGTATTTTCAGTGTCATCAACTTACTGCCCAGTTAAGCTCCGTTTTTGATTTTAACAGTATTAGGATGTAAGCTTTGGATACTCTGTGGATTAACTTTGACATGTTTACTAGTTATATATATGTTTTTGGTGAGAAAACTAGAAACTACCAAATCATTTTGACCTGCTTTTTGTGCTGAATCAGCGTGTCACAGCCCCTCTGGCTACTCCTGATTGCTGTCCCTGCTGCATTTAGGGCATCAAGCGGGGCATCATTGAGGTGGCAGACCTGGTTGCTATCAACAAGGCTGATGGTGATTTGATTGTGCCTGCCCGGCGGATCCAGGCTGAGTACGTCAGCGCCATGAAGCTTCTCCGCAAGCGTTCCAAGGTTTGGAGGCCAAAGGTTGGTGGACTTCCCTGTGTTTTGTGGGTCTGGTTTGGTTTTGTTTGGGTTTTGGAGATGTGTTTGGGAGGTTTTTTGTATTTTCCCCCCAGAAAACGTGCTGAATGAGTTAAGATTGGTATCTCCTCACCTAGCTGGCCTAGTCTCCCTGGGCTCCTTTTAAAAATTGCAGTTGGTTGTTCAGTGTCAGTGTGCTGGAGAAGTGATTGCTGCTGTCTGTGCCTCACCTCTGATCTCAGGGTGTGCCACATAAAACACTGCAAAGCCAGTCCTCCTCCCCAGGACTTCTGCTCTGAGCTACAATCTCTGCGCTAGCAGAGCTATTACTGCCATCAGGAATGGTGCAAACTTCACTTGCTTTTTGTAAACTGTGCATATCCAAAAATGCCCCTTAATCTACTTCTCCCTCTCTTATAACTCTGAAGCCTGTGATTATCTTTGCTCTTTCACTAGTTCATGTGTTTGCCTTATTGCTTTAATTTTTTTTTTTTTAGTTTCTCACATAATAAAAATGGCTAGATAATGGGAATTTTTATCCTGGAGGTCTTCAGTTTTAATGCTGTATTTTATCTATTAAAAGTTTTTTGATGGATTTTTAAGAAGATTAAGTACTAGTTTTTAATGTGTGTATATGGAATAAGCACACACACTCTCACTTCCTTTATAAATAAATTATCTGTAAAGGAGGTTTGTTCTACCCTGGTGTTGAAATTGACCCATTAAGCTGAGTTTAAATCAGCTGAGGATTAGCCTTTCTTTTCTAAGTGTGGAAAAGGAGAGAAGCTTTTTTTTTTAAAAAAAAAAAAGCCTCAGGCTTTCAATTTGAAAGATTGTGCTGGTTTTCTGAAAATTAATTCCTGGTGTGGAAAGCAAAAGCAAAAAAAATTAAAATACCTTGTTTCTGGCATATTTTAAGTGTGAAAGAATAGCTACCAGAATATGGACTTTAATCTACATTTAAGTAAAGGAGCAATAATGTGCCTCTTAGTTGAAGGACTTACTAAAAATGATTCTCATAACAAGCAGCTGGACAAATATCCCAAATAGCATGGATCTCAGGGTCTGTAGAATCCCAGATTTTTGGGGGGTTGGAGTGTAAGGTACAGATATGCTTAGAGCTTCATGAAGCAGGTACTGAAGGCAGCTTCCCTCACACATTTCCTGATTTCCATGCAAGCCGCCTGACCCAGTGCTTATTGGAATATGAATCCCAATATTACCAGGTAGATTGTGCCTGGGCCAGTCTGACCCTTGCTGCTGGGCCAAAGGTGGCAGCTGTGGTGCATCACCCCAGAGACACCTTTAGCTTGCTGGTGGTTGCAGCCAGGCACTAAACAAGTCCAGACTTGTTAGGAACTCCGTTTACCTCAGGAAGAAGGCTTCAGGTGAAGGTGAAGACAAAGGAGATGGATTCTGTTGGAGGGTTATATCCAGAGTTTTATTCGATGGTCACAGAGGTCTGAATGTCAGTAACAGCTCCAACAGAATCACAACCGCATGGTCTGATTCACCTTTTAAGCTCCAGGGGCAGGGGGAGGGGAGGGGACAGGTGAGCCACCAACCAGGTGGGAGGGGCGGGGCCTCAGGGGAGGATGACAGCTAGACAGACCAATGACCTCTGGGCCTGAGGGGCATCCCTTGAAAGTGACGAAGCACACGAGTAATGTTAAAACTGATTGACAGCCCAGCAGGGGGCGAGGGGGGAAGGGGAAGAGGGGTATTGGCACACCTGGGGAAGGGACCCGGAAGTTTAAAAGAGGCTGTTACAACACACTGCAACAAGTGCTGGCAGCCTGGAGGCCAGCAGGTAACCTGGCTGTGGCCATTCCCTGAACCCCAGGTGATGCGCGTCTCCGCCAAGACCGGCGAGGGTGTCTCAGAGCTGTGGGACAAGATGGCCGAGTTCCGCGAGCTTGCGCTCAGCAGCGGCGAGCTGCTGGCCAGGCGGCGCCGGCAGCAGAAGGTGTGGATGTGGAACCTCATCCAGGAGAACGTGCTGCAGCACTTCCGCTCCCACCTGGCCGTCAAGGATAAGATCCCGCTCCTGGAGGAAAAGGTTCTTGCTGGGGTCTTGTCTCCTGGGCTGGCAGCTGACCTGCTGCTGAAGGCGTTCAAAGATGCTCTCTAAGCATTGTTTGTACTCTGCTCTTGATGGGTGCTTTATGTGAAACATGTGAACATTAAATGCACTTTTTCTATGTGTTGATTCTGATGTTTTGCTGCAGTGGAAATGCACTGAAAACCTATCCAGTACTCTGCAGAAGAATTCTGTGGATTCTGTATGTGCAGCGATCATGACAAATCTAAACACTCACTAAGAGACTACTACACACTATTGGAGAAAAAATAAACTTCCAAATCTTCTGTTTCTACATGCCTTAGATCTGTTGATAAAAACTGGATGCCTGTGTAGAATGATTGGGTTTGGGGAGGGCAGGAGAGCGAGGTTTGTGGTGGTGCAGGGTTAGGTTCTGGTTGTGGGGTCATCTCAGAGCAGTTGACACTGCAGCTTTCCATTCTAATATAGCAGCAGCTGTTGCCAGAATGGATTGCATTTTCTTTCCTCACCTTGAGTGACAGCAAGAACATTGCACTGCCTGACAGCACCAGACCACAGCCTTAGTTTTAAATAAATTGTATGCATATAAATAGAACACAGTGGTGTTTGGTCCCTCTTTGGAAGCTGTGGTTAGTTATTACACACTATACAGTAGGAGAAGGGAATTTTAACCATCCCAGTTTCAAAACAGATGTTTTATTAAAAAACAAAATGTAATTAGATTTTTTTTGACATGCAGACATCAGATTAGACAAATGTTACCCATGATGTTTTAATAGCAAATGTCTTTATACTAGAATAATTTGTCTCTAAAAATAATGTTTTATGGTTTTCTGATCTGACTTACATTTTCTGGATTCAAACAAAATGGCAGTCGTGTTTAGTATTTTTTTTCTTTATCTCTTGCAGAAGACAGGACTGCTTCCAACCAAAAGCACTTTTCTATTTTCCCTTGAGAAAAATCTGGAGGAAACATTTTCCTGATCTATGATCTAGAGGCAGAGCTCATCTGGTACCCACTAAATGTGAAGAATAAAGTGGAAAAGTGCTGATTTTTGGAGATCTGACAGTAAAACCATTAAAATAGGAGAATTTGTGAGCCTGTTGGTACTTAGGTAAATTAATTTTTAAAGAAATATATTGGCAGTGATAATTTTCACAGTTTTGATTTTCTGGACATGTACATAAAAGGTATGGTAACTTCAGCTCAATTTCACCTGTTTGGCTTCTGGCAACCCAATTCCAGTAGAGCAGTGAATTGGGTTACTTAAATCCTCTTTTTACCTTCATGGTGTTTGTTTTTGTTCAGGGCTTTTTTCCCCCTCAAAATACATTTTTCTCTTCATTCCCCTTGTCTCAGTTGTTACATGGTGATCCCAGCTCTTGCCTGCTAGGCACTGTTTGCAGTGCAACACTAAGGAAGGGCATTGTGGTGTTTTGGGGGCCATACAGCTGAGGCATTTCTTTGGTAAGAAAATTTGCACAGGGGGAGCTGGTGGTAGTGGCTTCCATCACCTAAATTGTCAGAACTCCTGACCACTTACTCCTGTTTCTTAATCACTACTTTGGGATTGCTGCAATCAGTTACAAAGAAGCAGCTGAAGGAATGTATGGAGTGGCAGAAGCACAGTGACTTTGTTCTGACCATGCTGAATTGTGAGAGAAATGCAGTGCTTACTGTTTCTTTTTTATTCAAACAACCTTTATTGAATATGACAGAGGGTGCCCCGAACCAAAAGCAACTTCTTGTGTCCTTTGAGTCCTTTCAGCTTTAAATACTGACTGTGTTTTATGATACCTTATAGAAGAAATGACAGTCAGGTGGGGAATGAATTAATGAGAGCAGCAGCATTTTAACCAGGGAATTCTCAATTGTTTGATAGTCCCTTTGTTTCAGGTGGCAGTTTTTGAGGTGACCTCATTTGTGTTTATCTGTTAGATCAAATCTTTATTATGGTCATTGCTTCTTCTGTCAGGACGGCTGTTTTCCTTGTCTGTCATACATGAGCTGCCAAGCAAGTAAAACAGAACCTGCAGCTTTGTTTAAATGACACCTGCTCAAGCAGAATATGTTTTGCAGCCTCTTCAGTATTTATTTTCTGGATGCAGATCTACTGATCCACTCAAGCCATGGGCTATCATTATTTTCTCATTTTGTTCCTTCTTTTATAATATTGTTAATTTACAAATGAACTCTTAGCAGAAGTACAATGGCTTAAGCAGGTTCTTCAAACTGCATTTTCCTTTTAAAGCAGAGCATTAAATGAAAATCTGATTTGCCTTCTTTATGTGTTCAGTTATGCCTCATACTTCAGTAGATGGAGAAATATCCATATATTGAAAGGAGTCTTTGGAAATGAAAGAGTAAATGAGGGTCCCTGTTTTGTTTTTCAGTGATTCCCCTACCAAACTGAAAAGCTGTACTATGCAAATTATGAACTGAGCCTTCCATGTGGGAATGAAATAGTTTGTTTTACAGCCTGTAAAATTTTGCTGTGATGTGTTGTGTTGTGAGCAGTCAGCTGCTGCTCAGTTTATTGTGCAGTTTTGTTGATGTTCTTGTGGGCTGGGCAGATGAATTGTCTTCAGAAGGACTGCAGAGCTTCAGCTGGTCAGCTACAACTCCATAAACAATCCACTGTGTCCCAAGATAGGGAAGAATGTTTCCAGCTCATAATTTTTTGCTCTGTGGGATTAACTTGGCTAAAATGCATTAAAATATTGTTATTCAAGTAAACAGGCTTCTGAAAAGAGATAGTAAACAAATCTGTTGAGTAGGATGTTGACATATTCTTAGTTTCTGGAGTTGTCAAGCTGCTCTCATGTTAACACTTAAACCTACAGCTATTGCAGAATAGTATGGGAAAATAATATAACTTCATGAGAAGCCAATAGCAAGAGGGAGTTTGTAGCTGGAGGTATGACAAACTGAGACAACTGAGAGACAAATGAATAGACAAATGAGTTAGAGAGGTAAGGAATAAAGTGTTTACATACACAAAGTAATTTTCTACAAAGTCGTGCATTTGTCTGCAAGTGTGAAACTTTTCCCCAGGTGCCTGTGTAATAGATGTTGCTGGTGTTTCACAGCTGGCAAAAACAAGTGTGGTGAGATCAAGTGATTTACCCAGGACTCTGAAACAGGTCAGAGAGTGTAAGGGTTACAGTTCAATAGTCTTTACTCTGAGCCCCACGTAATATTTACAGCCATGTTACTTAAGGTTGAAAAAATGCTCTTAGCAAGTTCATGCTCTTAGTGTGACTTATTCCTTTCATATCTAATCTCTCTGTTTTCAGTGACAGGACCCAGTGACCCCTTCTTGACTACTCTTCTGTTGTAATGTCCTGCTTTAAGTAATAAAAAACTTTCCTTTGATATCTAATCTGCCCTTGCCTTCTGCAAATGCATTACTTCCTGTTGTGCATGCTGCTTCAGCCTTTGTGTTCTCCTCATATATATTGCTTATTTGTGAAATCTGCAGTGTGTTGGCTGTTTGAGATTTTGGGGCATGGGAGTTGAGTAAAGCTAAAGAATACAAAGGAACTTTTTTTTTAACTGTATGCAGTTCCCTTCCTAAAGTTTTCTTTAGTAATGTGGCAAGATTCAATTACTGATTTGCTCTGTACTGGTACAAACATTCTTATTTCCCTTTTATTTTCCTTTCTCAGAGGGCTCTGTTGCTCCCCCTTGGATGCACAGTCAATAAGTAGCATAGTCCATGAGTTAAAATGAGAAAAACGTTTTTACAGAGTTTAGTGCTTCTGTAACTATTCCTGCTAGACTGTTCTAAAACTTTTATAATTTGATGAAAGATTGAACAAAAGTTGGTTAAGAATGTATTTAAGGAAACATTAGTGTGTTTCCCTGAAGAGTTGGACAGTCATCAGTGCACAGACTGACTAGCAACAGGATTCCTCTTCCAAATACCAGTTCAGCTACTCCACAGTCATATTCTTACAGTTTATTTAAAAGTAGCCACCCCCCTCATAATGGAACATTTGTAAACCAAGAATAAAAATTTCAAAATTAAAAACTCAGAAGCAATTAGAGTACATACTTAGAATGGAAGGATGACAGACATACTCTGTTCCCTTCTGTCATACTAAGGTATGGTTCATCTGATGAACAAGGAAGGAGAAGAGGGCTGACATTCATGACATTGTATGGAGAAGGTACATTAGGGAGCAGCAAAAGGAATGTATCTTTTTCTCTATTTTTCCTCCCATGGGAGCATAAGAATTATCTTGGATAATTCACTGTGAAGCCACAGAAACTGATGTGACAGTGTTTGCTGTGTGAGGCTTACAAAAAATTATAAATTCAATGCCTGTTCCTGTCTTTTGGATTTGTTTATTGCATGGGACCGTGTGATGCTTGTCCTTTGACACTAGGTGGGTTTATTTGTAATTGTGCTCCAAGTGGGGAAGAGTTAAAAGTTCTTGTAGTTTGAGTAAAAGATTGTTTACTTGTCACAACTTAAAAGCTTCACCTTTCAGAATGCATGATAAGATTGCTGTATTCTTCCTTAAAATACTGTGGCAAAGTGAGTTCCTGCTCTGTGTCACTATGTCTTCATTTTCTCTTACATCTCTTCCACTGTTAGAGTAGCCTGTGAAAGCTTTAGTTATGCCCCTTTTAACATGACTCAAATATTCATGCAGTTAATCAGGGGCTGACAACACTTCTGCTTTGTTTCTTCAACTGGAAGTGCCCACTACAACCTAAAGATGTCAACTGTGAGGAGCCAAAGGCTGTTACAGCTTCAGAGGCCTGGGCTGACCTGCCCTGTGCAGGCTGCAATGGCTGGGGATGCTGGTGTGTGTCTAATGAGAAATTGCTGCACGGGCTGTGTGGCTGGAGCAGTGCACACTCACACTGCTAAAGGTTTTCTCCTGGCCCTGAATCTGTGATCCTGTTTGTAGTTCTCTAATTGCAACCAGCAGAAGACAAGGGTGATGTTGGTTTTTATGACTTGTTGCTTAGCAGCGTTGATCAACAGAAGTCCAACCTTTTCTTTTGCTGTGACCTCGGTGAACCCGGGCTTGGCCGGAGCTCACCAGCGGGGAACAAGGGTTTCTGAAGCTGTGTGAATCTCCTGTGCTGTGCCTTGTTAGCAGTGGCTGAGGGAAAGCATCTCTTCTTGACCTCCTGGTTACCTTTGCCCTTTACTCTCTTTCTCTCTCTCCTCACATCTTAGAAGAAAGCAGGCACCGTCCTAGGAAGATTTGGAGGATGGGAAATACAGGGACAAGTCAACTATACTAAAGATGTATCCTGCCTCTTTTCAGGAAAAGGAGCTAAGCTGGTTCCCAGACTGTGATGTCAGACCCTCCTCTCATGGAAGGAGAAGGACTTCAGCCATCACAGTAAGGTCTATTCTTATTTAGAGAAGCTTTCCTAGTATTTCAAAGTAGACATAATAATCCATAGAGGAAAGGGAAATTAGGGTACTAAGAATTTCTTGGTTTATGTCTTTTAGAAGGGATTTCACAAACTGAACCAGAAGTGGCATTGAAGTTGAAAATGATTGAAGGTCTGCCCTGAATGTGTGCCTTTATCTGATCACATCTGGCAAAGCCTGTAAAATAAGAGCAGGGAGTAAGTTGCTTGTTTCACCTTAATTCTAAACTGTAAATTGTTAGTCTGACTGGACAAAGGCTCTTTAGTGACACCAGAAGCTGCAACATTTAATGTGCCTTACCACATCAGAAGATTTTACTGTTGCTCAGATGCTTGTCTTTTACACCTAGATCTGAGTAAGAGACAGCTGAGTATTTGTATACTTTTTCTGCCAGAAATGTTGTTATCCTGAGCCACCTTTATGCTCATGGACACTGGGTCACTGTACCTTGTCAGTGTGGTGGCTTTCTCCTTTCCACCCTGTCACCTCCAGCACTGGCTTCTCCCCTCTATCCATTGGTGCTTTTCAGAGCACTACAGGTGGATGTGTTAAAAGGTCAGCATGTGTTGCACAAGCCTGTTATGCTCTGGTGTCCCTCCTCTCCTGAAGTTTAAAGAGAAGCTCTGCTGTTCAGTTATCCCAATCTTGTAAAATTTGTGGAGAGGGCTAATATTGCTGTAACTGCAAAACTGAGATCAGATAGATCAGGTGTTCATGCCAGAACAGGCAGCTACATAAGAAACTGGCTTCTGCCCTGCATGGCAAGTGCATGGTATCTGGCAGAGCTCAATCTAGTAAAATAATCAGCAAATGGGAATTACGTTGCAAATATTATTTTTTTTTAATATTGCATGAATCTTAACAAAGTTGTCTACTTGGAAATCCTGACTGCTATCTGAGGCTGAGAGGAGTGACTTTTCATGCCCTTGCTTGATGAACAGAGCAAATTGTGTTCACCCAAACAGGATTTCTTTATTTTGAGCTGTGAATATGATTTGTCTGTCTTCACTGAACAACAGCTGCTAATATCTGATATCTGCAGGACTCAAAACAAGAGGGTGAAGTAATGTTCTTAACTTCTGATTACAGGAGAAGTGGGGAACTCTGGTTAAGATCAATAAGCTTTTAGAAACAGTTTCAGGAAAAGTAAAAAATCCCTTTTTTGTTGCTTATGAGTGGTACAATGCAGCACTTACAACCTGACTGGTTCTTTCTGTGTGCAGTGGCAATAGAAACTGATTAGATTTGAAAATTAACGTTTCAGCCTTCAAATGTTGCTGTCCTTCACTTTTCATTATCCTTTAGAATGTGACATTCTCAGAAATGAAGGAGTCTTTAATGTGGGCCTCTTTAGTAATGTCATTTCCACACCTGCAGCAATGGAGCAGAGCATGGCTGCTGTACAGCACTAGTATGACTAAAAGCCACTGAATGCTTTATTTCTGTGCTGACATTAAAGAGTTATTTTGAATTATGATGTGTTGAAAGTCCCAGTTTTGTGTCTTGCACATTGCATGTGGCTTTCAGTTTAGCTGAGACGCTGCTCCAGACACTCATTTTCACCGCTCACAATTCCTTCCATGTTAGAAATGCTGCTGCTCCTCCACACCCTGAGGTCGGGAGAGGTCAGCAGAGGAGCATGTGCCTACACGTGATGGAATAAGGTCCTAGAATAAAGGCTGCCTGAGGTCTGTCCTGCTAGGCAGGTCACTTTTCCTTTTTTGGGGTGGTAAACTTCATGTGCAATGAGACAGGAAATTTCAGGGGGAAACTGGGATAATTAAAATAATCTTGTTTGGCCCATTGCCAATTCTTTCGTCTCAGAAAACATAGTTGTGGAGACAGGCACAGATCTTGTAAACTAGTCCAGTCTGAATAGCTCTCACTGAACATTTTTGAACACTGAACCTTAGTGAACACCTAACATGCAAAGGCATTTCTGTGGGACAGTTTGAGTACTTTTACTTTCATAGGGCTTTTTTTTCTTTATTGCGTGTTCCTTGAGATTAGGGGTGGACTAAGTGGATCTTCAGGTTAGTGTGGTATTTCCTTATGTAGATTGCATCACAAACCACTCCAGAAGAAGATATTTTTATGAGCAAGACTTGTATAAATGATAAAGGAAAAAAGATTGCCTGGAAATAGAAATTAGCTGAAATAGAGATTTAAATACTGCACAAGCTGGATAGAATTAAAGCTACTCTTGTTTTGCAGTTTCTAAATCTTGAAGCCATATTATTTTCTCCTCCTGTGCTTAATCTAGAGTGTTTGTAACAAACCACCTTGTCTGCATGCCAAGAGATTGCCACAGAGAGAAGCAAACTGCTGCTGATGACAGAGGCAAATCTTGTTATTCTGAAAATTATTCTTTGGGCAGCTTCTCGGTAACTTCCTTTTCCCGATGATTCCTGATGAATCAGAGAGGAAACAGTTGCTCAGAGAGTTGTGCTGTGGTGCCACTGGTGCGTGCTGGGAGCCTGGCAGCTGGCTGGGAGCACCCAGGAGCCGATCCATAGGTGGCATTCCATACATCCCCTCCGCAGTACTGATGGAGAGCCCTTAGATGGTGCTGTACGGCAGCGCTCGGCACCGCTGCTGCCTTAGGGATGCCCGTGCCCACCTCAGGGCTGACATTTGGCCACAGCCCAGTCTGAGGAAGGTGAAACAGCAGTCTGTGGGCACTGTTAATTAGGATGAGTAAATGAAATCTGTCAGTAGAGACGTATTAAATATTAAATTCAAGCATGGATTTCAATAGCTGCTGTAATTTAATCCTTATAAACTTGAATCATGTCGTGCTTAAACTTCCATGCCAAATGTATTGCTCTCTGTCTGTAAAACAAAGGGCTTTTAAATAATAGTTAAGGAGTTTTTAAAGGGCATTTGAGGATCATCCTGATGGAAGAGTAGTGCTCACCCTGGGAACTTCCTAATGTAAATATGGGTGTGGTGGTGTGGCTTTCAGGTTAAATCTTCCAGGCTGTGAAAGTCTCTTCATTTCTGAAGAACTAGGGATGCAGATTTAGGAATTTGAGTTGTGATGTCAATTACAATGGAATTGAAATGGAATTTCCTCTAGCAGGATGGGTTTCAAGCCACAAAGTAAATTTTATTTGGAAACTCTTGGTTAAATTATTAAACAAAGTTATTAGACAGCTCTAAAATACTGATGGTATCTTTTGTAACAACACAGGAGAGAAGTGAGGGGTGGAGAATGAATTGATCTCTGCCCCTTGGAAAGGAATAATGTGACTGTTTTTTTTCCAAATTGGGAATGTAGCCTTCCTATAGTTTCCCTGCATGCTTAGGCATGTTTCATTATTTTGGTAGTGCTTTCCACCTGTTCCTGCAGCTTGAGGGAGTTAAGCCTGGGAATATTCTGCCAAAGCAAATGAAATATGAAATAATTTATGTTTTCAGAATGACTTCATTTAGTCATGACTTTTATTTATTCAGAGTGAGAGAGAAAGAGCTGGTGTTGTTACAGTCTCCACTCTCTCTGCTCTATTTTTTCAATCTCTGGAACTTCCTATAACCCAGCTTTTTTTTTTTTTTTTTTTTTTTTTTTTTTTTTTTTTTTTTTTTTTTTTTTTTTTTTCTGACATTTGAAATGTCCCAGGCTGCATAAACTGAGTATCTGCTGTGTGTTCCTCTCATCCCAGTAATCCCAGTAATTCTCATCCTGTGGTCCCTGTGTGCTGTTGTTTTAGGTGTATCCTTTACCATCATGTGGGTTGTTAACATTACCCCGAACCGGCTGCCATGTAGGCAGGACCAAGCACTGAGATTTTCTTTCCTGTGAGTTGAGAAAGAAACTCTGGCTTGAGAACACTGACAAGTTACTGGGTGGTGATTTGTAGCCTAAAGCTGGTGGCTATAAATTCTCACCTGTGAAAAGAGAACCTTGTAGCTCTGCACAATATGTTCTTCCAGCTACAGCTGAATTTCTGCACTGTTAATATCCTTAAGCAGCTGCAGCAATGTGTCACACTGATCTGGCATTTTGCATCCCCAAAGCTCTGCTCAAATATTTGAACTTAGTAAGGCACTCCACTGAGCTGAGAGGGAGGCCAGTGTCACTGCAGCTTTAGAGAAAAAGAAACAGCACCTGGGAGGTTAAAGCAGCTTTCCCTCACCATGCAGCAAGTCAATGGTAGAGCTGGAATTACAGCTCAGGAGGTTCCTGGCTCGTGCTACACCGGGCTGTGGAGAAAGGTCATTTCCCAAAATAGTGCAGGAGGTTTGTTATTGATAATAGGGCAACAAAGGGCTCTAGATGTATTAATAGGTGACTGTGTGCCACTCTTGGTAATACATAATTTAACAACCTTGCAAAATGGGCTACATCATATTCTTCTGCAGCAGTATCACTTTCACAGTTTTTTCTGCTTTACTCTGGACAGGTATTTTTGTTTTGGCTCTTCTAACACAGTTTTATTTAAAATAAATAGGGACATTTACTAAGTAGGCATAGAAACCCTCCTGATTAGCAGCCACATTAAACTGCAATACCCAGCTCACCTTTCAGGTCAGCTCAGCTCCTCTGCCCTTGGGAGCCATGAGCACAGCTCTGTCTGCCTGAGGAGGGCAGAGGTGACAGAGGATTTAGTGGCAGTCATTCCTGGCCCTGCAGGAGCTGGGCTACAAGGATGGGAGCCCGCAGGGCTGCCACGTTTGGGGATGGCCTTAGGGAGGCAGGCAAAGCCCATCCCCACCCAGTGGGACAGGGTAGAGGGTGCTGATCCTTGTGAAGGGGTTTTCATTGAGATTTGGTCCCAGCTGTTCCTCAAAAGACCTTGGGGATGGGATATTTGGTAGCTGTTGTTGGTTCTTGTAGATTTTTATTTCAATTTGCCTTTTCTAAAATGCTGTTGATCCCCTTTGAACTCTTCTACTTCAGCAGTGTACTTACTGAAGGAATTTGTTTCTTCTCAAAATGAATTATTTGACCTGCTAGGTTATTCAGCAAATTCAAAAGTACTATGTAGGAAACAAGTTTATTTTTTCACCAAGCACCTGGATCTGTGCATCTGCAATTGAAAGAATAAGAAAATGGTATTTTGCCTGCGCCAAGTCTGAGGAATTGCAGTGAATAATGGTGGGAGGAATGACAAAGCAAATAGGTATTGAATCAATTTATTCAGTCTCATTATGGTTTGAGTTTGGGTGAAGAGTCTCCAAACAGGGAAACACCAGGGAAAGGAATGGGGAAGGCAAAATGTATAAGGAAAGTTAAGCAGAGCACAGCAGCATCCAGAGATGGCAAGGGTGCTGTTCTCTCCTCTTTGTGTCTGTGGATCCATGTATTGGAATTACCAGAGCAATGTGAGCTGCATGTGCTGCATGTGCCTTTTAATGCTTGTTGGTTGGAGTAATTGGATCCATTGTTGTGGGCATTGGGAATGCCAGCCTGGCTCTAAGGTCACTGATTTGGGAACATGACCTGCTGGAGGCCAAAGCCCTGGAGAGTTTGCTCTGTTTCATCCTCGGAGGTACCAGCCATGATAGTCCCTGCTTTGATAAAGCAGTGCCAGTGTTCCCTGCCCTCATCTAGTTTGCTGTTTGTGCTGAATTGTGGTGTGTTTTGTTTTGCTCTTGTTTTAGTAATTCATCTCTTAAACTATCTTCTGGTGCATTCAGAGTTTCTGAAGTTTGGTTGACTTTTTATTTTTCCCCTGTGTGTGTTTTGGTTTGGTTTTTTGGAACTACAGTTGAGTTTTCACAACTGAAACTGGTTGATCAGAGATTGAATTGTAAATGTTAGTGGTTTTGTTTGGTACTTGATTGGGCATCCTGCTTTCATTCTTGCAGATGATGAAGTCAGCCAGATGTAGCCAAGCAGTGCCACACAGGAAAACCAGTGCACTTTCTGGGAGAGACAAAAAACTCTTCTTTGTGATAGAGCCAAATGATTCATGGCAAATGCTAAAGGATACATAGTTTCAGCCTTGACTACATCTGCCTTCCCTACTAGGGAACTCAGAGAGGCCCAGTAAAACCTCCTGTACAAAAAGAGACAAATGATCTCTCTGGAGTGTCTCAGTTCAGGCTCCTGGTCTGGAGCATGCCTGAGCTCTTGTGGCAGAAAGGGAGGCTTCAGGGTCTGTGTGGTTTGTATTTTCTGGCATCAAATGGTTTTGTGGTTCTTCACAGTGTGAGTCCTTTCCAGGAGCTCAGGGAGTTGCTGTCAGTCCTCAGCTTTCCCTGTACAAACCTGTCACAACATCCAGGACTGAAGCACCAAGCATGGATTTCCTGGCCCATCTGGATTGGCTGGACTTGGAGCAAAGCAATCATCTGCTGGTGATTAGATCGCCCACCATAAATTCCTGGATGGTTCTCATGGGGACATTTGTGCTTCCTCAGAGCCTCTTTAATTCTCCCTAAAACCTCATCAGGATATAACTATCATGTTGCCCCTATCAAAGATTCTATTTTAGCTGATTTGAATATGTTTTTTTCCCACTGCTCCTTAAAAATGCTCACATACCCAGCTGAAATTTGCATCTGCTGTAGGAATTCTCTTTGGGACTGTGGGTGGGCCTACTCTGTCTAGGTAGTGCTGTGGTTTTTCTGGAGTTAAGAGAGTTCAGACCTCCTTAAAACTGAACTCCAGCTTACAATGGATTTGAGTATTTTTATGTCTTGCTAGAGAGCCTTAATTTCTTTGTGCTGCTCTGTGGCGCGATCAGGGCAAGCACCACGTTGTATATCTGCCTGCACTTGTTTGGAATTGATGCTGTACCCTGGGTGTTGTGCACAGATTTACAGCTGAGGTAAAAAGCACAACCACTTGTTACCATCTTTTCTTTTCCCCCTCCTCAATGTGTCAAACTGCTCCATGGTCCTTTGGAAGCCTATTGGGCTACCCAGAACCAGGGGAAAAAATGGTGAGCAGAGTCCTGAATCAGTTGTCTCAGGTCTCATTTCCTTTGGGGTTCTGCATTTCTGACTCTTTTTGGCAAGGGTTTTTCACTGCTTTGCAATGGGCAGGAGCTACTGAGGATATAAAATGTTTTTGTTTTGATGCTGGAGCAGAAGCAGGGCTGGGAAAGTTAGGAGTCACAACTGTTGTGTAAATACCTTTAAGGGCATAACTTCTTTGAAGAGGCCTGTTTGTGGTTAAGTAGTTCAAGGCATTCTCTTAGTCAGGAAACCTGTTTTCTGTAGCCCAAACAGAATAAAATCCACTTGGATCATCTCACAAACACCTTTTTTTTTTTTTTTNTTTTTTTTTTTGGTATAATTTACTGGTGATCAAACTCTGTCAAGGTAAAGGTCATATTCTACTTTCAGAGTTAAAGAAACAGATTTTGAGCAAAAGCAACATCACAAACAAACAGAGATAAAAAGGCATCATAAAAGTAAATATATGTCAATGTCCTGGTTTATTTTTCTTTTTTTTTTTTTCTGGATATCTTTGTTTATGTGGCATGGCCTTGCTAAAACTATCCATATCTCAAAGCATCCTTCTGCTCATACTTTTAGATTCTTATGAAGGTGTATTGTATAATTCAGACAATACATTGTATTGTGTATTGTTCTCCTTTTCCTTGTTTCTCCCTGTAGATGGAAAGCTGCTAGAGCTGGGGTGAAATCCATGCTACCTTTAATTACTAAGGGCAAAGTCCCCCTTTTGCAAAGCACTTCTCTTTCATTTCTTTCCAATCTGTATCTTTGCATCTCTGTCTTGTGAGTTGTTTGGCATTTCTAGCCTGACAGGGCAATGCTGGCAGGGCACCTCACAGGTGCAGCCCTCTTCACCACTGTTAGATGAGGGAAAATGCATTTTTCATCTGGAGTTAGAAAATGACACTAAAGTCCCCTGCTCAAAATCCAGGCTGTTTCTCTTCAAGAGATGCTGAAGTTATATCATGCATCTGACTGGCTGCTGCTACAGTATGGAGCCTTTATTTATAGATGTGTATAAATAAAATCAATCTTCCTCTACAAACTGTCAAATTGTATTGCCCAAAAGCTGAGGAATCTGCAGTTCATTAAATCTGGAGATAATGAATGACCCCAACTCTCTAGAAAGAGCACCTTCTGTTCAGAAAGACTGGTTTGTTTTAATCTGGCTGCTGGCATGAGTTGTCTACAGTTTTTTCCTGCAAAAAATGAAAATATTATTTTTGATGTGTTAAAAAAGTTACTGCACGATGGTATTTAGTGTAATTATGTTAATTCATGTTATGAATTAAAGAGATCCTGAATAGTTGAAGATGTGTGTGTGATATGAGCACAGCCAAACCAAGATGTGCAGGCAGGGGGTGAGGAAGGGGGATTACTTAAAGGTGTTCATCTTCTGACATTATTTGTTCAAGCAGAGGGCAGATCATTGGCAGCAGGTGCCCTGAGCACACGGTATGGATGGCTGCTGTTCACCTTTTTGGGATGTGGGTTTGAATTACAGTGTTCTGTTTCATCATTATCAGGAAAAAAGAGCCACATTTTGAACTGAAGTACCTCAAGGTTAACTCCCATGCCTTATAAATTAAGAAAAAACCCAATTGCTTGTCTTCATGGCCAGCCTATGAGACATGGAGGATGCGTTACCCATTTCCTAGTTAAGCTGCATTAATCTGTTTTCTGACTCCTCTCACACCCAAAACAAGCTGCAGGCCCTGTCGGGGCACAGCCATAGTGAGGTGGCTGGTGAGAAAGGGTTGGTTTCAGGCCCCTCCAACAGGTCTGTAATTAGAGGCTGCAATTCCTGCCTCTCCATTCCTGGAGAGTGTTATTGCCCGTGTCAGATCCTCCCTGTAAGGAGCTGAAATTGGATGGGCTTTGGCACATGCTTGATTGTCCATTAGCAGCAGAACCTGTGCTAATTGCCAAGAACCCCCCAAGATCCACAGGGCTGGGCAGATGGATGGTGAGGACAGGCTGCTGTCTCCTCTTGCCTCTGCCCAGGCTCCCAGATTGCCTGCTGGGCTCAAAGAGGGTGAGACTTTGCCTGCCCTTAGCTGCAGTCTCTGTGGCTGGGAGGTTCCCTGTGCTCTCTCACCTTGCTGGGAGACCTGCCAAAGATCTTTGCAAGAGGTGGGAGGATATCTTTCCTTGAGGGTGGCTTTCTTTGCTGGCTGTCCTCTTTATAGCCAGGAGGGAAGGGGTAAACAAGGATACATGAGAATTCAAGCTGAGTACATCCTTGGGATGGTGTAAGATGTCAGATTTCACTTGGCTTGACTGACAATATTAGTTGTGTTCTTATTAAGTGCTTTTTCCTTTTTTGCTTACAGGAAAAGAGTCTTCAGAAAGTCCCTTTCAGAAAGCTTGTGATGAGATGATGTGAGTCTTACACTGGAAGCAAGATAATTGATTTGAGTTTGTTCTGCCACTGCAGCTGGTTACAACAAGCAGCCTGCCCTCTGCCAGAGCAGAGCAAGAGGAGGGCAGGTCTGAGCGCTTCTGCTGGGGTGAAGTTCTCTGGCTTTCAGTGTTTGCACAGTGAATTCAATGTCAACATGCACACAGACAGCAGATCTCAGAGGAGTCAGAGGTAAATAGCCTGGCTTTTTGAGCTTTCTAGAAAGAGCTGCAGAGCTGAGGGATTTCTTCTCAGCTTTTGGCCTGTCGTGAACTGGCAGATGACATGGGAGGAGGAAGTCCCTGGTCATTTGGCAGTGCCAAGAGCAAGCTTTGAACCATGCAAGCTTCTGGCGGGTTAGGAGACATTCCCACTGGGCATTTCAGAGTCCTGGCCTCTTGGCTGCCAGTGACAGTTTTGGGTGATCTTTTTATTTATAAATGGTTGCTACTATTGAGTTGGCTCAGTTCCTCTCTTAGACTAGCCCAAGAAGCTGAAAAAGTTCAATGGGAAGCAGGTTTTCTGAACAGTGCAAAACCATACCCCATGCATTTTCTTGTGGCTCTCTAAATGTGGAGGATTCTAGAAGTCTCTACCACCAAATAAGAGCCTGGATCTTGACAAACTATTGATTAGGTGACAGGAAAAACTAATGACAACACTCATGTGACTTGGGCTGAATGGCAAATACAAAAGTTGAGTGCAGTTATTAGTTTTAATAGACTAGCCAGAGGAGAGTAACAGTGTGAAGATGGGGAAGAAGACTGGCCTGGCTGAACAGGGATCTTTTGGTGAACTCAGGGAAGGAAAATAATTTCTGACCTTTAGAAGAAGAGGCAGACAACTCAGGAAAAGTACAAGGATGTCGTTAGGTCACGTAGAGAGAAAATCAGAAAGGTGAAAGCTCAGCTGCAACTCAATCTGGCCTTCCCTGTGAACGCTAATAAAGAAGTGTCTTAATAAATTCATTAATAACAAAAGGAGGCCCTTGGAGGTCTTTTCCCACCTTAATGATTATAGGACTCTGTGAAATGCATTTATCCTTGAAAGATGATACCCTACTTGTTGTGAAGTACTTAAATTCACCCTCAGTTATATTTTCCTGGTTGGAGTTGCTGGAGGACTGAATTTCCTGGCTCTGACTTTGAGAAATCTGTCACTTTGAGTAGGAATGAAACTTGACTGATGCAATCTTATCAAAGTATCACCATATAAATGGATCTTATTTATTTTTAATTGAAATGTCAACTTAAAAGATGCAGTGCATATTTTTAAATCACACTGACATTATTTTTAGATATTTTCATTAAGTTCTGGGTATGCAGTCCCATTAAAAATAGGGAGCTAAGTATAAAAACATGAAGTCTTAAGCTTGCTTACTAAATATTCAAGTGCAAGTGGGCATTGCTCTGGTAACACCTGTGAATAGAGCTATTCTGGTAGATTTAAAAAGTGTCACTGCCATGAGTGACAGCACCAATGTATTCATAGTACCTCAGAACCCTGCTGATGGAAGGAGCTTTCCTGCAGCCATTTATCTTCACTTACATTCCCATCCCATTTTAAATCTTTTTCTCTGTTTCAGGAAAGAAAGCTCCAGTGATTTTTTATTGTTGAAACAAGCACTGCTTCTAACTGCTGGAATGCAGCTGCACACTGTGTACTGGAAGCCTGGATGCCAGGGAAGTGTTAATCCCTGCAGTCGAGGAATATGACATGGATACTTTAGTTTGTCTTCATTTGTTCAGCTGGTCCTTGCCCCAGGCAGGGCCTAGACCAGGCTCATGTGCTCATTTGTGGCAACTTGAGGCAGTGAGAGCAAACTGGGAGAAAATCCCTACTCCTGTTCATGGATGCAGCCCAGCACCTGTGGCTCCAAAGTCCTGCTCACCCATGTGTGAGCACCTCAGGTAGGGCTTTGACCCTCCCACCTGGCTTCCTGGTAAATCTCTTAAAAAGCAAATTCTTCAGCCTGGTGTGTGAATGAACATTTCAGGCTTAAATAGCAGGGAAAGGATCAAGAAAGTATTTGATGCTTTGTTGACCAGCCAGGAAGCAAGGCCTATTTTTGGGTTTGGTCACTTTAGGCTGTGCTGCAAGCATTGGCATGAAGGTCTAGGGGCTCAGGGAGAGAACATTTTTTTTCTCTTCTTTATTTAAACAGGCACATTCCCAGAAGAGTAACAATCCAAAGTTTACACTTCCAGTGAAATGCTGTCTGAGAAGTGCTGGAAAAAGAAAGGTATGTGATAGAAAGTAGAGGTCTGAAAAGTAAAGTGGAGCAGAGCTAAATGCAAACAGAAGAGGAACTTATACTACAGAAACTTGAAGTTTTTTTTTAAAATTAACTATAGCCTAAACTGGAAAAAAATGGGGTGGGGTAAAGCTTTTTTTAGAGTTGTGCCATATGTTGATTTTAATCATGATTAAGGTGGCAGGAAATGAAACAATTACAAAGAAAACCAAAACAAAGCAAAGCCAAGCAGGGAAAGCCCTTCCCCATTTTAAATAGGGAAATTGGCTGCCACAGGCTGCAAAAATAGTGCCATGCTATCCCTTGATTCTCTGCTCTTCTCCTGTACAGTTGTTGGATTTTTTGGGGTGATGCTTTCTTTTTCTCTTTTTCTTTCTTTTTCTTTTTTTCTTTTTCTTTTTCTTTTTCTTTTTCTTTTTCTTTTTTTTCTTTTTCTTTTTCTTTTTTTTTCTTTTTCTTTTTCTTTTTCTTTTTCTTTTTCTTTTTCTTTTTCTTTTTCTTTTTTTTTCTTTCTCTTTCTCTTTCTCTTTCTCTTTCTCTTTCTCTTTTTCTTTCTTTTTCTTTTTCTTTCTTTTTCTTTCTCTTTTTCTTTTTCTTTCTTTTTTCTTTCTTTCTTTTTCTTTTCTTTTTTTGACTTAATGAAACATTTCCAGTCAGTGTGTTCCCCTATCCCTGCTACTGCTCAGTTCCAGCCCTAAGTTTCCTTCCTTTCCCTTTCCCTTTCCCTTTCCCTTTCCCTTTCCCAATGTGTAAATCAAGCCAGGTTGGTCAAAGGCAGGTGTTGTGGAAGCCCAACAGCTGCATTCCTTATGTAATGCCTGGCATCCACCTGGATGGCTTTCTAGGATATGTTCCCAAGAGCTCTGCAAGGAGCCCAGCAGCCAGGAAAAATCCCAGTATTTGGTCAAATGGAACCTGTGAATTAAGTCAGGGTGTGTCCCCGTCCCTTTTCCAAGGGCTGTGCTGGACACTGAGGCATTGGCTGCCCCACGGTCAAGGTTAGCTGTTGGTTCAGGGATTTTTTAATTGCATCCCAGGGAGTTTTTCAAAGCGGGGTGCAGGAGAAGATGCCTTTTCCCTTTGCAGCCTCCTGGAGTGCTCTGCACTGGGGAGATGATGTTCCATTTGCTGCAGCTCCACAGAGCCCGTGGTGGCTGGCAGGCTCCAGGCAGGAGTGATTGCCCTGGTGTTTTATTAGCTCCCAGAAAATATATAGCAGGGAAAGAGGCCACGCAGGCTCCAGCACAGTCTGCCTGAGCTCTGACCCCTCGGGCAAGAGGCTACATTGCTTTTACAGCCAGCACTTAACCTTGCTGCTAAGACTTGTCAACAAGGAGGCCAATTAGCAGCAGATAAGATGGTAGATGATATAATGCAGATGTCTGTCTGGTAGGAGCATAACTGATGTATTTTTAACACAACAAGGATCTTAAAACGTGGCTCTGCATAAATGATGCCATCCCCTCCACTGTAGAGAAGCCCTCTCAACAGTGGAGAGTTACAGAAAATTGCAGGTTTGTTGTTTTAGTTTGGTTTGGCTTGTTTTCCCTTCCCACAAATTCTCTCTTAAAGCCTTGTTCTGCTAGGCTCATGATGACTATGGCATGTGTAGGATTGTAAGAAATAACTATGAAAAGATGGCAATTTTAAGCCATTTTTTAAAAACATAGATTAAAAATGTACATAGATTCAGAATGAAAACAAGGCACTTCTTGTTTTCCTGAAAGAGTCAGTACACAACTGGAGCTGTTTTCTGTAATCACGCATGGATATTGGAATATTATCAGAAAATACAGACTAGGGGAATCTCAGCTCATTGATTAAAATCATGCAGGCCTACAAGGCTGTTCCAGAGCCCCTGCTGCAAAGGGGCTCCTTATCCCATCTCAGCGTGTCCCACTGACACCCCTGTTTGGGTGAACACAGGGGTTTCCTGGCAGACTAAAACTGCAGGGGCTGATTGCAGGCAGGTTATGTTTTGGTTGAGACTGGCAGCCAGGATAATTCAGTGAGATAATTCAGGCCCCTCCCAGCTTATTTTAAGGAATTCTTCAGTCTGGTTTTAGTGGTTTAGAACTTATTTAAACAATTAAGCCACTTCTTCATAGAACCACAGAATGGTTTGCACTGGAAGGGACCTTAAAGCCACCCAGTCCCAACCCTCCTGCCATGGACAGGGACACCTTCTGCTGGACCAGATTGGTCAGAGTCCCCTCCAGGCTGGCCTGGAACATTTATAGGGATGGGGCATCCACAGCTGCTCTGGGCATGATTTGCATGATTGCCTTTTCATTGCTAGGATAACTATTTATGTCTAGTGCAAAAACTCCACAGAGTCTCACTGTATATTTTCCATTGCAGTGTGGGCAGGAAGAGAGGGAGACACCACATCTTCTTGAGGGACACCATGACTTACCAACTTTGTGTCAGAGCTTTTCTTTCAGCTAAGGAGTCAGAAGAGGAGCAGTGAATTCCAACACCCAGCAACATGTACAAGGTACTGATAAAGGCCTTGAAAATCAGTATTCACACCTCAGGAGAGTAGAAATAACTGAAAGGAGTTTTTTCAGTTGAGTAGACATTAACACTGCCCTAACTGCAGGAAAAAGGCAATCCAGATATATTTAATGTTAACATTAATATATCTGAGGGTGATTCTTATCTAATGAACACCCAGATCATTTTCTTTCCTTGGTCAGTGTTTAAGTAGTTCTAACTTCCTTTTAGGATGTTGGGTATCTTTTCTTGTTCAGTGGAGTCAATTGTGTACCTTTGCTTCTTGGAAATTTGTCTGCTCTTAGGGTTTCCTTCTTTAGTGTGCTCTGTGCATTTTAATTGTTCCAATAATCTCTGCTAAAAAAACCCAGTTTTTCTAAAATGCTGATGAAATGAGTACACAATATTTTTATAATTAAAAAGAAATTATTTTCGTGACAATGTTTTAGTGCACTGTGTTCTTTCATTCACTGCTTAGTTCATCTTCAAGGAAATTTCCTTGACATAATTTGGTTTACTTCCAAGCAAGAGCAAGTGCACCAAACTACTGCTTAAGGATCTGATTTGTTTGAAATGCTTGACTGAGCAGAGTGTGCAGAAGAGGAATTATCCCCCTTGCAGAACTGACCTGGAAGGTTGCTACAAGCACGGAGCCCACAGAGTGAAGAAGTCCTGGAGCTGTCCTCAGATTATTTGCTGTATTTTCTCATCAGGAGTGAGAGACAGAGCTTTCCTTTTCAATTTCAAAATTGAAGATTAATATCATTGATAAGAAGAAAAAAAGTGAAGACATTATCTTCTTGTCTTGTAGGAGAATCCTTTACCCCTTCCTCCAAATCAACTCTAAATATATTTAAGGTGAAAAAGAGAAAGGAAAACCAAAAGAAACCAGAATATAGCCAACCTTTTTAATTAGAGTATATTGTACTTCCAAACTGGATACACTAGAAATTGGCAATGCAACATAAGATGCAAAGAAATATACCAGTTACTGTCAAAATGACCCTGTACAGCCTTATAATGCAAAAAGCTTTATACAATACAAATTTTTATTAATGTACACAAACCTTGACAGAATGATATTTGAACATAATACAACAAGTAAAAAAAAAAAAAAAAGAAGAAAGAAAAAAGTGCTGAGAACTTTAATTGAATTACTGAATGGAAAAACACGCCAGCTTTCATTAAAGAATGCATAGTGAAAACCAGTATGAAATTACCTTTATGGTGGGGGGAATTTATCAGAACTGTTGGTCATTAATCAGTAGGGGGGACCTCTGGAGAACATTCCTGTCTTTAGTCTTGAACTGCAAACAAATTATTTTAATATGCAAGAGCTCTGATAAATAGGGTATTTTTTTTTTCTTAAAAAAATAAAAACCTCCTAACACACTTTTCCTTACAGAGAAAACTTCTATAACTTGCCAGAAAGGATGAATTTATCCTTTCCAAAGTGCTAAACAAATTTCCCAGGTACACTAAACATTGCCAGATCAGATACTGGTGCAGTGGAACGTGGTCAAAACACATGGCGGTCGCATGCGGGCAGCTCGTTCTTGGAAGCTCCAGCCCCATTTAAACTGCCATTTGGATTAGGTACAGTGGCCTATAATTATAAAATTCCTCTTTCTTCTCCTTCCTGGACAGCTGTACCTTACCTGGAGTTGGTGTGAGAAACAAGCGTTTTGATTTGGGAGTGTTTGGTTTTCTGTGGTGTGGTCAGAGATGCGTGTGTGGAGCGTGTTTTACAGAACTGGTAGAGCTGCTGGATACAGATTGCAGATTTCATGCTGTCAAGATAGCAACTATTTTATGCTCTGAGTACTTCCCAAGACAGTATTTTGTATCTAGTCTGTGCTCCCAGGGAGGTGTGGTAGGAGCTCTGATGGAGTAAAGCATGGTGAGCAGGGCCCTGAGTTTGGTACGTTGTTTACAGAGGTTTACTCGCAGTTTGGAGCAGCTGGGTTCTCTGCACTGCATAGACAGACCTGCCAAGTGCTCATCAGAATCAGAACTGTCTGCTGGAATGTAAACAAATGGTGAGACTTCTCTGTCCTGTAATTAATAATGCCAAAGGATAACCTGCTATGGTTTTGGATATTTCCCCCTTGTAACTAGCTTCCAGTATGGTAACAGGAGCGCGCAGATTAGGATGGGATGTCCTCCATATACAGGAAGAATTTGGTCATGACAGTGGAGAATGTTTGGCCATCTCAGTACAAAACAAATGTAGGAATCTTGCAAATAGGTTAAAGTGATGCAAGTTTTGCATCCAGAAAGTCTTTCTACACAAGCTTCATTTAAGAACTAATGAAGACTGAGTTACATTTCTACTTGTCCATATGGCCAAGAGCCCTTGTGGACAAGAAATGCCTTCCTGCACTGGGTTGTTGCTTTCCTGCTGGGGTGGTTGGATCCCCCCATCCCACAACAACCTGTAGAGGAAGTTCCTTCAGGACAGCACAGGGGTGGGCAGATAGCATGTGAAAGATGTGACTCAGGGCACCTCCTACAGTGGCTTGGCCAAGGGACAGGGGAGGGGACTGTGGCAAAAGCTAGGTCAGACACTTCTAATAGCTGTAAAAGACAGCCAGATCCAAATCCAAGAGACACCATGGAAAACAGTAATTCAGTATGAAGGCATTCCTGTACATCACATGATCATTTTGAAAGGCTTCACATTTTATACTTCCAATTGTAAAACAGAGTGCTTTTAATCCCAGTCTTTCTTCCCACATATTAAGTTGTCTAAGGAACAGAAATCAATTAACGATCAGTTAGCTTCTCTTGCATTAAGATCGCTCTTGGCATTTTGAGATTAACAAAGGTTATACAACCAATCTGCATTTGCTTCTTCCTGCAATAAAGTGCTACATATAACATGTCATTTTAATGACCACAAGTAGGAGCATTAAATAAGTACAAAGTTAGCTTCCTAGCAGGACACACACTATCTGCCATCAACAGAAAGGAATAAGGTATTACTGATGACATGGAGGGGAGCGAGAGGACTGTCAAATTTGCAAGTACAATTGAAATACTGAGGGTATAAAAGAGAACTTTATGGTTCCAAAAGCATCTTTTTATAGCTTTATATTTCAAAGAAGTTACTGGTACCTTTTCAAATAAACAGTCTTATTAACTTCAGCCCACAATTTGTTTTTTTTCTTTTTTTTTTTTTTTGCAAGTGAGAAACAAACTAGTGCAAGACTAAAGCACTGTGCAAAACTGCCTTTTTTTTTTAGTCTGAGTATTTATACCCAGAATTTATCCATACCCTTTTTTAAATCCCCTTGTTGGATTTTTTTTTTCCACCATAGAATTCTAGTTATACAAGTTGTTCCTGCAAAGTAAAAGGTAACCACTGCATAATACAGTATATATATAATATTTATATGCCCTTTTAAAACAAAAGATGTATGCTGTGGCCCAGAGGCAGGTGTTTGACACACCTGTGTAAGAGCTGAGAGTTGGGCCTGCTGTGTGGGTGTGTAGGCTGCACACACTGCATGTGTGTGGACATACACACTCTTTTCATTGTCATGCTCTCATCCTGCAGTGCTGAAAGCAACTTTTTTCCTCACCAGTTCTACCCCAAATCCTCAAACTTTGACGACTGAATACAAGGCATCAAACAACTGAAGGAAGCTGCAAACAGCACAGAAATAATACACCAGTTCTCCCCTGCCCCGCCCCAAACATTGCTCCTTAGCAGCTCCACGGTTCGGGGGGAGGCAGGGAGCGAGTGTGGAAAGGGGAAAAGAAGGATGATTAAAGATGCCAATCCAAGGGATGTGCAAAAGCAATGTCATGGCACACGACAGGCAGCCTCTCTTCCACGCACCCGCACGCACACAAAGCCCAAAAATAAAATGCATCAATATGTCATCTTACAAGTGCTGATTGCCAATAAGGACACTCTTTTTTTTTTTTTTCAGCTTAACAAGACAAAATAGTTTCTTAGATAAAGAGTACTGGGAACATGCCTCTGAAGGTAGAAGTATGCAGTAGGTCACCTCTTGGAGATTTAATAAAGCAGCTTTCATGTCAATGCAATAAGTATACACACAGAGCCATTTGCTAAACCTTACTAATGATATAGTACAAGTGTTCGTTACCTTTGCAGCAATGTATAACCTGCTGGGTTCCTCGGGGGATTTTTGGTACAGAATGCAACTGCCCTCAGACAGTTTCTGCCCTTTCTGTTAGTCCAAGGTAGGCAAGGAAAGAGTGTTTAGGTGAAGAGGCACCTCCTGGCGCAGTCTGAGGTCTGGGTGGATGGAATGTGAGATCGTAGTGGTTTTTGGGGAAAAACATTGTTAAAGGGATAAGGTGGGCAAACTCTGAGTTCCAGTATTTATCGAAGCACAGGGAAGTGCCGTTGATGGCCAAGGCTTTCACTGCCAGGTTTGGCTCTGCCCCGCTGCCGTGCGCAGCCGACATCGCTACTGTTTGCAGAGCCTGGGAGGCAGACATGACTGAGAGGGGCGACAGAAGGTTCCTGGAGCCGATCGCTGGTAGGAGCGGACTGGCTTCCTTGGAGGTTGAATACTGGCTCTTCTTCTCCTCTTCAGAGCAGTCCCCGTTCTGGTGCTTCTTCACGTGGCGGCTGAAGACAAAAGGGTGGGTAGTCTTGAACAGGCACTCGTCACAGCTGAAGGTCTGGCGTGGAGCGTGCTTCAGTTTCTTGTGCAAGTTGAGATTGTCTTTGCGTTTGCAGCTGTAGCTGCACTGGTCACAGTGAAAAGGGCGCTCGCCGGTGTGGACACGCACGTGCTCGATCAGCTTGTTGGCCGTCTTGGACAGGTAGCCACACTGGTCACACTTGTAATGGTTGCCAAGGCGGTGCTCTCGGATGTGCATCTCCAGCTCCAGCTGGTTGGCTTTCACTGTCTGGCAGATCCGGCACTTGTACTCCATCTTGTAGTGAGTCTTCAGGTGGCACTCCATGGCTGCGGGCCGGTTCGTGGAGTAGATGCAGAACGGGCACCTGGCAACACAGCAAGCAAGGGCGGGGACAAAGAAAAGAGGAGTCACTCAGCTGGCAGACCTGCCTTCCTTCCTGCTTCAGCCCTGGCACTCAGCCCCTTTCTGACCTACTAAGGAGGAGAAAAAGGCACTCAGTTCTCCCTGTGAAGCCTCTTTCCGATATCTGGTTCACCTAGACACGTCTCTACTTAAAGGAGGTTTGCCCATTTAATGGCATTCCTAGGAAAGCATTGATTCACTCTGAAGGAGCATCCCTTTAACCTTCTGGCTTACCTTGATGGGGTCTTCCCCCAAAGCAGGCCGGGGAGTGCAGGGTGGGTGACTGATGCACGGGTACTTTGTGTAACCATTCCTAGTGTTTGCACGGAGTCACTTGGGCCATTTTTTTCCATTAAGAAGTGGTTTAAAGTGAGTGTTTACAGATGAGTATGAAAACAGCTGTTTAAGTAAAG